TATATGCCATAGTATTCATATTTATGCATATACATTGTATAAAATATAATTATATATAAGTACCGTTAAATTGTTATATATATGCTATACCTCAGTATAGTATTTATAGTATAATATACCTTTATATAGTACAATATTTGTATATATACTATATATATGTCTACCTACCTACTTACCTTCTTACCTATCTATAAAGTGTTGTAAGAACAATATTAAATATACTTAATATTTGCAGAAGCCAACAAGGGTAGAAATAAGCTCAAATGAATAATTCATCCAGTCTGGAAGACTGTTACAAATATTCTTATATTGGTGTACAACATAGCTATCCATTTTTGCTCTGGATGTATGACCACTTGAACTTTGTGATAGTTATACAGAGCCATTTAATACAGTAATGAACTGTTATTTTAATTCTTTCTTAGGCCAGTCACTCTCCATGTGTATTATACATGGAGAGTTTTATACATTGAGGAGGTTTTAGTTCAATTTCCCAAAAACATCTGATTACCACATGATTTATTTATATAAGGTAGTTGAATCTTACCAACAATACTAGTGTCATAACATATCACTGTATGCTTTTGATAGTTTGGTTTAGTTACAAAATAGATCAGGAAATACCATAGAAGTGTTTATTAAACCTTCCTAGAAGACTTATCTTTATCCATATACCAACTATTATTATGGACAAGTGTTGCCATCAGTGGCAATGATTTTGTCATTTCTACATCCTATTTTAGCTGAGGAAAAGGCCATTAATTTTTCTCAATTCTCATTATTATCCAGATAAAGGTTCCCATTAACTGTTGTACACTAAGGTCATCTCTCTCCCTAGGGGAGTACATGGGTATCATTCAGTATTAGTTCTAATCACACTAGCTAGTTTTATTTTGGTCCATTCTTTGGTCAAGGTCAGTCAGAGATCAGCAATGTGTGTAACAATTCCCCTCACAAAAATTCCATAAACTGGAGGATCTGTATATGGCTTAAAGATTCTCTCCCTGAGCTTTCACATGTAAAAATGGAAGGCTATTGCCCCATGACTACTTGGGCCTCCATGTTAAGTAAAATGATTAACAGACTGCTGTGTTAGAGCATATGCTCTTTGTTTCCTTGTGTGTTGGGTCTGTGGGGCCATTTTATCAAGGCTCTACTATATTTTCAAATGGAAATGCATTCTTTTCCCTACTCTTGGAAGATGATTTCTTCCAAGCTGTCTATTGTATTACTAACGCTTTTTCTCTTTAAAGTTACTCTTCATTAAAAGCAAATTCAGCATTTACCTAGAGCAGCCCTTATTTCAGCTACAGGCCTCTTTTGTTTCATGGGACTGTGATTAATCCAACATACAAGCTGCCACTGAGTGGCAACTTCTTGAATAAAGTTAGGATACATGTACTGTACCTCCAAAATGTTGGGTACCCCAAGCTAGAATCAAGTTTGACTGTGGTTACTCCCACATGTAGTTTAGTTTGAGTACACCATCTGGTTTCTCTTCCCTGTCTCAGGTTAGGGTTATACCCAGTGAGGATACACATCCAATTTGTAATACCTAATCTGTTATTTTAATTCATAACCCAATGATATTTTTCATTTCATTTAAAAGATGTCCATCCATAAAAATGGGGATGGTGTGTACCCTTGAACATCTTTTATGACATGTCAAACTATTACATCTAGGGGCTCATCTGAGCATTTAGTCATCAAAACTTATGGTTACACAGTTATCAGTTTGTGTGACATTATATATTATGCATCATAATCTTCAGAGGAAAGAAATTATTGAATTTATTTTCTCTTAATAGTCTAATGAAGGAAAATTCTCATAAGTTAGCTTCATCACCATTTCTATCAGTAAAATGCAGATAATGCAATTAAATGTTTAGTGATCGTTATAAACATCATATACATATCTACCTTTTAAAAATAAATCAGAGGTCATGAAAATTAGATATATAAATGACACTATGACACTCTTAAACATTTATAAACAAAAGTGATTATCAGTGATAAATATATATTTAATCATTTTGTCCCCTAAGGACAAACAGACACAGTCCATTAAGTAGTATAACATGCACTTTCAAACACCTTCTCTAATAGATGAGAAGTGTTAATTCCACTCTTGACCAATTTATGGAGGTTAATTTTCATAAAATACATTACAAACTATGAAAATTACTTAAATGAAAGATGGGATCAGAGCTAAATGCCCAATGAAGTTTGTGCAACACCAAAATTATTTTTAAACCTTATTATTTGCTGATGGAGTTAATAGATTTATTATATAGCACTTAGAATACAGAAGCACATACCTGAGTGCCCTCAGAGAAAAGCAAACCAATCATTCTTGTCATTGTAAGTATAACCTTTGCATAGTCGTACTAGACAGCGATTTCTTTCTAACCTCAGAGATAAAAACAGCATGATATACAAATGTCAAACATTAACATGATGTGAAACTTTGAGTAGCCTGGCACAGGAATTTTGAATGTCCTTTTGACCACAGCTAGTAACAGGCTGAAGCTGAAGCTGCCACCAATGTGATAAGCTGTTTCTCTGAGGACAGAAGTCACTTAACTTTAAACACTGGGATAATCATCACTTATTACCATATGCTGATATATAATCATTATGACTTTATAATAAAATTCAGTTTTTCATCCATTCCTAAATTCAGTTAACTTCCTTGCTATATGAAAATCCTCTCTACTCCTCCCACTCCCAAATAAATTAAATTCCTTTTTTATTTTTGGAGAAAGAGTGGATTAAGAGGCCCAAAATTCACTGCCTATTTAGAGGAATATCTCAGTTCATATAAAATATATTCTGTTGCCTCCACTATAAGATCATTTGAAAGCATTAAATCTCTACTGAACATTCTGGAGAAGTAGTGCACCATTATGCTGTTGTGTTAGGAATACTTGAAGGGAACAGGAATAAATAATGATGGTGGCATGGACCAGGACTGAAGCAATGGAAGTAGTAAGAAATAATCAGATTTTTGATATATAATCAAGGTAGAACCAACAGGATTTTCTAATAGACGTTTTGTGGGAAGTTATAAAAAAAAGAGGAATGAAGAACAATTTCAAGGTTTCTGGCCTGGAACCAAAAGAAATTCTTTTGCAAATGGGAGCAAAGATAGTATGGTTTTGTGTTGATGGGAAAGATCCAGAGGAGCGGAAGACATTGTAAGGGAGAAAGAGAGACAATTACTGGAGTCCTGAGTATGCAAAAGACAAAAAGAATATTGTACATGAGGGAAAGGGCTGACCTTTGCAAAGGAACAATTCATTCACAGTAAGAGAAGACAAGACGATACAGACTCAGATGCAAATAGAAGGGCAGATGTGGATATATGCTTTTTCAGTTTTAGTTTTTAAATTATGAACATTTTATTTTCTTTAAACGTCTTTGTGTTTTTCTAAGTTTCATTAATAATCATACATTTTATTCAGAAGGAAATTTCTAAAAATTATTTATAAGAAATTATGCTTTTGATTGGTTCAATTTTGCCAGTGGAATAAGATACAAGTTGAGCATAAAGTTGGAGGAGGTGTTGGAGGTGTAAGGAGAAAGGAACATGCATAATTAGTCACCTTGGAAAGTAGGACAATAAATGGCTGAGAAAATATGATTATTGGGCAGCAGTAAGGGTCCACTCTGAATTTATGGTAATAAATTTAAAGTGAAGTCAGTATAGCTGTAAATGCTTTTCCGCTATTTCAGCTATGCTAAGTTACAGACACAGAGTGAGTAGGAAGTTGAATTTAACCAGAGTTAGATTTTGTCAGCAAGTACAACTAACTTTTCATATTTGTGCATTCTGCATGCTCAGATTCAACAAACCAGATTGAAAATATTCAGAATAAAAAATTGCATCTTGGGCTAGGGATTTAGCTCAGTGGCACTGCACCTGCTTCACAAGTGCAAAGTCCTGAGTTCGATCCCTGGTACCAAAAAAACAAAACAAAACAAAAATTGCATCTCTACTGAACATGTAGACTTTTTTCCGTGCCACTATTCCCTACACAATAGCTATTTACATAGTATTTTTGTCAAATTAGGTATTAAAAGTAATCTAGAGATGATTTAAAGTATGTGGAAGGATGTGCATAGGGTCTAAGCAAATACTACACCATTTTACATAAATCTGTGGATTTGGTATCCATGTGGAGGGCCTGGAACCAAGCACCCATGGATACCAAAGAGATAGCTAGGCAACAAAAAGAGGGCTAAAGGGAACTGAAGATGTATGCATGGGAGTGGCTACAAAACTTAAGGTGAATAAGAAAAAAAGGATATGAGAGAGGTGAGGGACAATATAGGTGAGATGGGAGGATCAATGACACAGACTGACAGGGACTTTTCTATTTAATAATTCTTTGGTATTTTTGCTTTCTTATTTCTATACTTTGTATCTTTTTATAAGTCAGTAATACAATATGGTAAACAACATGAATACATGACTTGGTTTGCACCCTAGCACTGTATCATGCACAATTAGATCTTTAAACCTGTCTTCTCATGAAATTCAGTCTAATCACTTTTCTTTGCCCTACTTCCACATGCAAATGTATATATAAAATAAGACTGCTTACCTTTGGGCAGTGACTACAGTTATTTTGTTATATTTGGTTTTATGAAAGTTCTTTTCCTCTGTACTTTCTAAAGTTTCTTTATTGTGTATGAAATGTTTTTATAACTTAGAATAACATTTATTTAAGAGAACATATATATGTATTTACATAATTTATAATTAAACGCTGGCTGTGCTTCCTATTGAGGTGTTAAAGACTTCATCAGGCAGGACAAATTATAGAACATAAATGATTTGAGAAGATAGAAGGTGGCATACTTTAAAAAACTATTAGATTTCACCAAACATATGCATAGATTATTGTCTAGCAACTGAAGTATATTAAAATATGTGACTGACACTATAATTAAAACAATAAAAACATTGTAAATTCAAAGAAAGGAGTATTACTAACCTGTTTCCTGCTTTGAGCCCTTGCATTCCGTAATCTTCGAGCAGAATAAAAGATAAAATATCCCACAGTTGCTGCCGTAATAATAAAAAAGGATACAGAAACAAAGAAAATTGAATAGTGATTCACCCAAGGGCCATGTTTTTTTCCCACTTCGATGACCATTGTTACTTGTATGCCTTTTTGAATAGATTGTAGAATTTTTGTTCCTTTCAGATTTCCAATCATGATTGCAACAATGTCTCCTGCACCTGTAAAAGAAAATGAATTGTTTTAATGTGGTATTTTTAACATAAAAGTCTAATTGCTAAAATGATTTAAAATGAGACCCAGCCCTAATCCTAAGGAGTACACAGGTTATAAGGAAGTTATATGTAACAGATGCCTCTCTCCTTCTCAGATTAATTACCTATAATTCAACAGATTAATTGCCTTTGTGGGCCAATTTGCATCTTAAAAGAAGGCTGGCTTAACAACAAATAGTCCCCTGGCAAGTAGAAGATAAGGTTTATACCTTAGGAAATCTGAGATTTGGGAAATATAAAAATATATAGCTATATAATTCTGATTTATAAGATGAAAGATTATCATATATACTCTGAACATGTATAAGATTTATATATAAGGATAGGAATCTGAGAAAAATATTGTTTATAAGCCCAAATATACAGCCTATACATATATCTATGATGTATTAGCCTTCTATATCCTCAAAAGCAATGTAAAATTTGTCCAAGATACTCCAAGGTATTACGTGGACCTGATAGGTTATCAAGAAAGATAACATAAAATTGATAGAAAGGTACTAATTAAGGACAGCTCTTAAATTTGTGACGCCCCCCCACCCCAGGCCAGGGATTTAGCTCAGTGGCACTGTGCCTGGCTCAAAAGCACAAGGTCCTGAGTTTGATCCCTGGTACAAAAAAAAAAAAATGAATAGCACCCTTTCTACTCTCAAATATGGATATATATTTTGTGGGGAAAAAAGAAATAATATCTTTTCCAATATTCTGAGTATGCCATTTCAATATTTATCAAGGTTTATATTCTTTCTAGTTTATATGACCTGAGATCAATAATCTTAAGCAAAAGAACAGAGTTCTTTGAATGTTAAGGTACTGGCAACCAGAGAAACCTCGCTATTAGGTTAAGGTACTATTCTAGGTTAATGATCAAACTTCAACTTGAAATAAACAACCATGCACAAATAAAACTCTAAAAAGACCTTTAGACTATAATTTAAACACAAAGGTACAATGTTAAAATAGTATTCAAATACAAATCTTAAATGGAAATGTACATTGTTGAATTTTTACCCAAATATTCCCTTAAATTTACATTTCTTAGTACTAAAGTCTTCAAAAGATCAGGCCAAAGAGAAATGCCTCACGGTACATTAGTTTTGTTCCTCTCCTTATCTGAAGTTATTAATTCAAAAATATATTACAAGTGTATCATTTCAGATCCTTAAAGTTCCAGAAAATACTATTTTTATTACAATAGCCATTTAGTTAAACTCTTTTACCTACTTTAATGTTCAATCACTTCATTTGATAGAAGTCAATGACTCACTCTGTTTTCATTTACATAGGGGAAAATCTCAATGCAATGGAGAGTGAAGGAATCTGAAATGTAGATAGATACTTTCTGGTATATCTTCTTCCAATATGAAGATACTGAAATTCTTCATACCAATCTTTTGGAGAATTGGTAATTTTGCAAGAGAGTGGCTCTTTTTCTATTTGTGTGTGGGCTTTAAATTTCTAACAGTGGCACTTATTTCTGATATTATAACCTGCATAATCTTAGAAAGCACAGATAATTCTAAAAAATCAGGCTTTGGAATATAATTTAATTGTAAAGATTTCTCTTTAAATCACAGATGTAGTCTTCTAATCGGAGTTTTAGCTAATAGAAATAAATTATTATTCTTTTAGAAGATATGAGGTGAGTGGCCAGCACGAATAATCATTTGGCACATACTGTCCATTGTGGTCAGATGGAGGTTTTAAAAAAGATAGTAAAAAAATGTACATTGTCTACATATCAAGAACAATGCTGTGCTTTACTCCCCACAATCCATACGCATACACACTGTATATTGTCCAACATTAAAAATTCTATTGAATTAGCTGACATCATATAAAAGACATTTTTAAGCATTAGGATATACCTTCTTTTCCCCACACCCTTTCAGATATCTAAAAACTGCTCCTTCTCCAATGATCCCAATTGCAGTTAATGGCATCATAAGCTTTCTGGTCATATGTTTCAGTAACCACAGAATCATGTTTGAATCTTCACTGCACATGTAGTTAGTCACATAGATCCTACTTGTTTTCTTGGTGTCTCCCATGAGATCTTTCTATCCCTGCTGTCTTAGTATAAGCCTGCATAATTTCCTTGTCTATACTAGCTCAGTAATCTCACTGGTTGCCCTATATCCAGTATCTTTACTTTCCTTGTTTGACTCTTGTCATCACTTGGTTGGATCATGCCTCTTCCGTGCTCAAAGCTTTTAGTAATTCTTTATTACTCATTAAAAGTCTGACTCTCTGACTCCTTGAAAAGCCTTATATGATCTTTTCTCAACTAACTTTTCCAGTTTTATATATGTCCACTACATCCCAACTTTAGGAATACTCAGATTCAGTCACATGGGAAGCCTATTGCCATTCACTTTTCGTAACTGTTACTTCTGCTCCCTCAGTTCCTAAAATTTCCCATGTCTGCTCTAACGCTCCTCCCTCTTCTGCTTGTCTACGTATTTATAACTCAAGTTCCAACTCAAATGTTGCCCCTAGATAGTCTTTCCAAGTTCCAAGTAAGAAAGTAAAAGTTCTGTCTTTATTCAGTTGTCACTTGGTTTTTAAGCCCTACTAATACTTCATTTTGCTTTGCATCTCAAATGGCACGCTTTACTCCCTTCCTAGATTAAGAACTTTTTAAGGGCAAAAAGAGTGTCTTAATTACACAGTAATGCCTTCCTTTATCTGGTATTGTTAGGAAATTAGATGTTGCACATAAGTAAATTTTACACGTAGCAAACAGCCTTACACAAATACTTAACAGTTTTTACAAAATCAAGTTTTAAATAACACATATAGTATTTTTGACCTGGTCAAATGTACTTGGCAAGGCCCATATTTTAAATAATGTATCTGCCTCCAAAGTATCAGCTTTGTACAGATCATTCCATAGATCAACAGAAAATACATTTGAGCACAAATACATAAATGCAGAATTTTATTTCTGCAAACAGACATGTATCTTGTACTGATTAAATATATACAAGTGATTTGCTTTATAAAAATACATAGATTTCTAAATAGACTTAATAATATCCTGGTGATATTTAATTTCAATTTGAATGATTTATAATCTAAATATTACAACCACAAAATTATATTTGTATTAAAAGGTTACAACTTTTGACAAAAATGCTGAAAATACATTTCAAAGAAAATTATCAAAACAAAGTATACTGCTGTAGCTTTACTGATTCTGAGGGCCACTTTATTAAAAATTGATGATTGCTTAACTGCAAACTTAACTGTTGCCTAAATGCAGAGGCACAGCAGAACACTAGTGTAAGCTCTTGTTGTGAAGAACAGCTTCAAAAGGACATTTAGGCCCTACCCTCCACTCTAAAAATACAGCGAAAGAAAATGACCCCAAAATGTTAGACAATCCCACTACATTTTAATGTGTAGAATTCTTGCTCCAGGGCACTGACGAGAAGTCTGTGGATAAATCATCTGTTTATTAGGTGTATAGTACTCAGAAATGTTTTTATACCATGAAGCTCTATAATAATTAACAATTTTGAATGTACATTTAAAAAAGTAATCTAATATTGCCTTATTTTCTTAACTAGGATATCCTGATTCTTATTTATTACTGAGACTGGATCATCTTTGTAAGCCATTAGTTAATATAGTAGTGAGATTATTTGTCTCCAATCTGTTATGATCTTTCACTGAAGTCATACATTTTTGGAGCTGAAAGGACCTTAGAGATCATCCAGTCTGACTCATTTTTAAATTCTCAGATTGGGCAATTTTCCTCGAGGGAAGAAGATTCTCACTTGATGCTTGTAGCAGCAGCCCTCCTTGATTTCTAATTTTATGCTTCTAATCTACTGTTGGGTCTGAAAAAACAATCAAGCTTTGGTCTACAGAATGAGTAAAACAGGCTTCCCAAGAGAACTTAAGGGCTTTCCTGCAAGTGCCCTCTGACATTTATATTGGTTGCTCAGTGACATTTTTGTTTACTTCCTGAACTGGTCTATACCCTGGATAATTGAGGTTGCCAGATAAGATTATAAACTAAGCCTTTAACATATTTAATCCCCACATCAACCCTCTAAAGCAGTCATTGCTGCTGTTCCCATTAAAGAAAACATTGACTAAACTAGTAAGCACAGTACAGAACTGATATGCGAACTCAAGGCAATCTGGCTCTACTGCCTCTGATTTTCATCAATATTGTACATTTGTTCCCTAACTTCAATGAAAGCTAAAGCTATTCTTTGATCTCAAAAATGACAATTAATTAGGTACATTCAAGGTGCCACAGTAAAAGTTTAACAATCAGATCTTCAAATCAGAGGAAGCCCTGATTTGTACTGCATGGCAATTTCTATGGTGTAAATACTCCCATCATGGACACATAAATGTGGCGTTTGGAAGAAATGGTACAACTGACTGAACAAGTGGGCTCCAGCTTACCACTGGGTGTTATAGGGTCAAAATCTATGTGTGTAGGATACAATTCAAAATTTAACTTATAATAATTTACTCATTTTTTACACTTATATCTACTTTTCAAGACAAAGTCTATATACAATTCCAAATTAAGTTTGTTTTCTACTTGCTACTCTGTTGAAAACCACAAAATAAAATATGTACTCTGATATTCCAAAGAAGAACAGATTTCTTTTTGTGGAGCAGAGAGGGAAAAAAAAATCCCTTTTCTGACTGTGGGTGTGTACATATGTGTTTGTATACTATTTCTGTTGGTAAAGCAGGCCTTACTGAGTGACCTTTGTTTTTCCTTAAGCTTTTCTATGCCCTTAAAATATTGGAAATGGGCTGTTATAATACTTCACCTAATCCTAAACCTTTCACATTAAAATTATTCACTGTGTGTGTATGTGCATGTGTATGTGTTCGTGTGTGTGTGTGTGTGTGTGTGTGTGTGTATGTGTGCATATGTATTTTGTTTGGCAATGCTGAGGATTGAACCCAGGGCCTCACATGTGCTAACTAGCACTCTATCACTGAACAATATCCCTAGTCCCCTAGTCCTGTAAATGATCTTTTTAAAGGACCCCAAAATAGTCTGTATATAAAATTAGCCATTTATTATAAGGAACAGAGATATGGTCATATGCAGAATTCCTTTTGAATGTTTAATTTTCTTGATTTCTATTGTTCTGAGGAGTAGAAAGTGAAGCAAACATTTAAAACACATACACATACACTCAAAGGTTAGAGGCTTTAAAGAAGATTTTGAAACTGTAAAGAATGGCACTTTTTCAAAGGGACAATTTAAAAATACACACAATCTTTTTCCTATTTGAAAAAGTAAGGTATTTCCATGCCTTTCTATAGAAACTCAAAGCACTTCTTCAGTACCCATGAAAATTGATTTTTGAAGATGAGAGTTTAGACCCTCAACTAGACAAGTCTAATTAACAGAACAAACCTATATTATTGAATCTATATCATTTATGTGGCAGAATTCTGCTTATCAGTAAAATTATTGCTGTTTCCTCAAAGCATTCTGACAATGTCAATGTATTAATCTATATACTCTTGTACAAGTTCTGGAGCTACCTACTTTTCCTTTTCTTTTTGTGGTATTGGTGAATAAACCCAGGACCTTTGCATTGAGTTACATCACTAGCCTTTAAAATTTTTTTTTTTTAAATTTTAAGCTAATTCTTGCTAAGTCGCTAGAGCACAGGTTGGGCTTGAACTTGCAATCTTCCCATCTCAGCCTCTCATATTGCTGGGCTTACAGGCATGCACCCTCAAGTCTGGCTAACAGCTACCTCCTTTTGAAAGTGCCAGGCTTAAGAAGCCAAATATGGGTTGCATAGCTTAACTGATTAAAACAGTGCCAATAAAATCAATGCTATGTATGGTAACCCCTTGTGGATCAGTTATACAGAATATAGACAGTACTCTTAACCTCACCCATTAAGTATTTTTTGAGTATCTAACACATGCATGGCACTGTGCTAGGCTATGCAGCCACAAAGAGTAATAAAATATAGTCCTTGCCCTCTAGGCAACTGCAAATATGTTCTGTAGATTAACCCTTCACCATTTGGAAGAATATGATCTAAGGGAGAGAGATGGATTTTGCATATCTATTACCATGGGCTAGTAGTAGAAAAAATCATTTCCATGTCACTTTCCAAACTGATACCGGGTTAGTAGAGCATTTTCCTATATTAAAAAATGTATTTTCTTTCAATGTCCAACATTTGTAAAATAAATACCACTTTGTAGGTTTTGATATTTCTCCACTTAGTAATATTCTTCATCTAAAAACTGGTAAGGAAGCAGCATAATGTAGCGAAACTCACGCTGATATGCGAATTACTGTAGAAGATTGGGTTGTAGCTTCCACCTGAAGGAGGTAAGGTTGTGCTAGGTTTCTAAGGTCCTAAAATCAAACATGACTAAAGTTCTTCTATCCTGATAGAATCTTCAAATCAACTATTAATTTCATCCTTTTTCCTAAACACGTAGCACATGTCTCAAAGAAAGGAAGAAAAAACTTTAACTTGTTAATAATGTTGATTAACTGGACAACAAACCACTAAAGACCTAAACTCTAATCATAGAATAGCTGTCATTTCACCTCTCTAAATATGTAATTGTTTAAAAGGTGATTGTGAGATCATTTATATTCCTTTCTTTCCTGGACTGTTAGGCAAATTCATTAAGACAAACTATAAGGATTACTAGCTAAAAGCCTATCTGTCTTATAGATATAAACTGAGGAGGTATTAATAAATGTTAATGTGTTGTATCTGGTATATTTTCAAGGATTAATACAATTATCTGTCATCTTTATAATACCAGTGTATTTACAGCATATTATATTTGGCAATTTAATGGCCCAAAATAGAAAATCTGTACCCTAATTTCTTCAACACAAATTCATGGGTTCAGTACAACTTAAATGAAACTCAACTTGAAGACATAAATTTATGAAGTATTTATAGATTCTAATTCTATAAGGAATCCTTAAGCTTCCTAGTTAAAAGTCAATACCAATAACACAAGTTGGCTCAAATTTTGTCACATTTTTACTCAGCTATCTAAAGTATTGTAGAAGGGACATATTAGAAATAAGTAGCAACTAAGAAGCAGAAGAAATATAGATTCCAAATTCAAATGTTCAACAATGAAAAAAGATTTTGGCAGTTACTTATCTTGAGAACACAGTGCTATGAGGGGTGTTTTCTAGTTAGTATTCATAATATATAAAAATTCGATCTAGGATTATGCTGATGGCCAACTCCTTTCATTTCTTTTAAAAAGCTAATGACGTTATGGTTTCAGTATAATCTTAATTATTTGTGAACACAAATTCATTAAATAAGTATTTCGTAGGTACCAACCACATACTGCGTTCTGTGCTTCTGGGCCTTTTCTCCCTTTTTTAATACTAACATGTTGCTGGGCATAGTGGTGCATGCCTGTAATCCCAGGACTCTGGGAGTCTGAGGCAAGAGGATTGCAAGTTTGAGCCCAGCAGGTACAATTCTGTGAGACCCTGTCTAAAAATAAAAAATAAAAAAGGGCTGGGAATTTTTCTCAACCCACAGTGAAGGCTCCTTCCATGTTCAAAAATTAACATGTGTCAAAATGTAAAATAAACTCTAAAGCATTTTACAATACGTGAAATATTCTAAGCATAATGATAGCATTTTTGCTCTACCTTGGCACTCAAACACAAAACATACGGAGATGAGGAAAGCTGTTCTAATGTCTCTTTCAACCAGTTTTCTACTTTTAATATTAGAAAACAGGAAGTACTCAAAATGAGTGACTTACACAGGAGGGGAGAGTAACAGAAAGAATTAAGATATGTTATGTACATATACCAACTCCCCATGATGAATGTAATCACTATGCACTGCAAAAATGTACTAATAAGAAAACAAACAAACAAAAGAAGTAATAAAGGTAAATGAAAGCCAAAGTAGTTATTTAAAACTAAGCTCATATTCCATACTGCCCAGACATCCTGATAGTACAGTGGAGACAGCACTTTGGAATTCACTGATATCTACAATGAACAAGATCTAAGCATGAAGAGTTCCAACATAACAAACATTTCTTCCATTAGAAAAACCTGGAACCAGTTCAAGTGGACTTCTGAATATTTATTTTGTTCATAGTAGCTTTGAAAGGCTCAGGTTTTCCCTCTACAGCCCCAAATTTTTAGGCAACCAGGGAAGGCCAATTATCTCAAAGAGGGATACCAATGCTTATAAGATCAAGACTCCTAAATGGTGCTTTTATAAAATAAAAAAAAGTTGTCTAAATTTTAAAGCAAACTAGCCTCTCTTTCTTCAAAGTCCTATTTTGTGACAATATTTTTTGTTGATAATTATTCCCAGTCACAGATGAAACAAAATTTAAGATTCTTAAATTGAATACTTCAGAGACGTTATCTCAAGTAAAAAAAAAAGTTCTATCATTGCACTTCATCAAATGAAATAAATACACAAATAATTTCTTTAAATTTTTATGGAACTAGCTCTCTAGGCTTGGGCCTAAGTCCTTTACTCATGCCTAAAGCACCGAAAAAGTCAGACTCTTCAGTGAATTTGGGACCTGCTACAGTCCCTCCCTCTGGAAATAGTGAAGAAAACTGAACTCAGCCGGTGTGCCAAGTATAACTGGTCCTTCTGTGGCAAGGTGAGGAGAGGGCCTGGGGGGGATCTGGCACTATGGGTGGTATGTGGAAACCGTTCCTGGTGGTGCCTGGACCCCCAATACACTTCCACTATCACAGCTATGTCAGTCATCAGAATGAGCAAACTAAAGGCCAGTAGAAGCTCTACCATTTGAGACATCCCTAGCCTGTAAAAATGGGTTAATTAATGTGACAAAAGTATTTGGAAATACATGTGTGTGATTCACTGGGAACAAGACCAAATCATTACTGTGTACCTCTTTAAGATATCATTATGCTTCTAACTAGCCTTTAGTTAAAACCTAGTTTGTTGCAGAACAGCCATAGTACAGATTAACTGTTTTTTAAGCAATGGTTTTTAACATTTTATGTTATTACAAATCATATTTTAAGGGTGAGAGTGGTGACAGGAAAGGTGACTAAAATCACTTTTTATCATTACTATTTTTTAAGCCAACAAATGAGACAGAGGCAACTAGTTATATATAGTACAGCAAGTTGCATTTCTTCCCTGCACTCCAAAATACATCTTCTGTAGGTTTGGAAGGAAATACTATATCAGGGAATGGATCACAGACTTGATATAGCATAAACAAATCTCTGGTAAATGGAGTGCTCAGGAAATAGCATATTAAAGACACAAGAAAAATAGATACAATACTGTTCAAAAGGTCATAGATGAATAATTTGTACATGACAGGTCACATTTACAGGAAAACAATTCTTAGAACTGTCATAAAATCACCTATTCCTGAACTATTCTGATTTCCACTAGTGGTTATATTTAGCATATCATTAAAAACCCAAGAGCTAAATCAACAATTCTTCAATTTTCTGGTCTCAGGACCTATGAACAGTCTTTAAAATTATCGAGGACCTCAAAGAACTTTTGTTTATGCAGATCATTTCTTTCATATTTATCAGATTAGAAATTAACAGGAATTTAAAAATATTAATTAATTCATTTAAAATAATCATAAATATTTGTCAATATAATTAATATAGTTTTATTAAATAAGTATATCTCCCCCAAAATGCAGTAAGAGTGGCATTGTTTATCATTTGGGCAAATTTCTTTAATATCAGACTTAGTTTAACAGAACATAGCTAAACACAGCTGGACTTCCATATCTGCTTTTGTATTAGTTCTGTTATGATATTTTGGTTGAGGGATATGAAAGAAAATTTTTATTCATGCTGATAATACAATTGAAAAATTGAGTGATATTTTAATAGCAATATATATATATTCTTTGATTCGAAACTCAACAAATGGTAGTTTCTTAAGCCTTAGGTGCAAGGTAAGATCTGAAGCTACAATTGGTTAAAAGAAAATCCATTGCTCTATCTTGCATGTTGAGTGGGTCTTTTATTCATCCCTGCTTTTGTAATATCATCTATTAGTCATATGGAAAATACTGGTTCACTAAATTATGTAGATCTTCCAAATCGTGACTCAGTTCAAAATTATACAATATAAAATGTCAAGTTTTTAATATTTCCATTGATCTTATCAGAAAAGTCTACAAATTACAAAGTTATCAAGCTCACAAGGTTCATAAAAGTTTTTCAAAATTCCAATTTTTGCTTGAGAACTTGAATCACTGTCAACAAAGACTATCAGGCTTTTTTGTTGTTTTTTTTGGTACGGGGGGGGTGGGGATCGAACTCTGGACCTTGCGCTTACGAGGCGGGAGGCGGAACCACTGAGCTAAATCCCCAGCCTATCAGGTTTTTTTCTTGAAGTGACATGCTTACTTTTCATTTTTAAGAAAAGGCCTTCCAAATACTTAAGTCTGAATAACTGCTTTCTGTCAGTAGGTCTTCAAGTTAAAAGAGATTACCTGAAGAAAGTAGTTAGTTCAGTTGACAAGTCTTGTCACACAAGTGCTTTTCCTTTAGGTAAACATCATACTCTGGTGTGCTGCAAAAGTGGTTTATGCCTACTTCTTATTTTATTATACAGAAATATACATTTATGTACATTGGGCAGGATAGATTTTCAAAAATTAATTACTCTTTCTGATGTATTAAGAACATTCTTAAGTGAAATTGGCATTTTCTTTTCCCTGCAAGTGCATAAGGGTAGAGAATACAATTAAAATAGTTTGGTGCCCTATCTTAATTTGTTTTAAGATACCAGCAGTTTTACTTACTATAGATTTTACATCATCCACGTAAATATCAACACAGTAAAGAATTTAAATAACATCTAAATATTATTATGAAAATAGTTTTTACTTTATGGACTTCTCAGAGAATCTCAGGGACCAGCAGTCCCTACATCATATTTTGAGTACTTTGGGGTTAGGATCAATGATCCTGAAGCTTCAATATGCATGAGAATTACCTGGGAAACTTGTTAAAACATTGAGCCCCCTGGGCCTCATTCCCTGAAGAAATTCCTATCTAGTGAAGGATAAGTAAACCAGATAACTTTAATGGAAATCTGTTCAAAGGTAGTGTAAAAGTGGGACAGATAAGCCAGATGGGTCAAGATCTTATAAAAAGATGTTGAACTTTATTCTGTACATGAAGTGGAACTTTCTAAGAGCCTTTAACAAAAGAATAATATGAGTATTTTTCCATTTTAGATAAATTTCTCTGTTAGCCACGAAGAGGAAGGCTAAGATTGGTGGCTTGGAGACCAGGTATGAGTTTGTTAGTGATGATTTAAGTGAGAGATATTGATAACAGAGATGTGTTATAACAGGAAAAGAAAAGGACTGTTTTTGTCATGGTTAATTTTTTTTTTTTGGTACTGGGGATCGAACTCGGGTCCTTGTGCTTGTGCAGTAGGCAGTGAAACCACTGAGCTAAATCCCTGGCCCTCTCATGGTTAATTTTTAAAATTCTCCATATGAAGTATATTACATACAAAGTAAGTCTATTGGCAGATTTTTTTTCTGTGGTGGTAAAGGATAGGCAAGGAAGTAGACCACTGTCTTGAAACTACTTTACCTTCACATCAGTTAAACTATAATCAAACTCCAACCCAACTGTTTTCAAGGTGTGGTCCACACACAGCACATACAGACCATGTACAGCAAAATAACTCACAGAACTTGTTAAATCCATAAATTTCCACACTCTGCCCTAGGCACATTGAATCATGTTGTTCCAGAAGAAGATGACATGACTGTATCTGAATAAAGGTAGGTTTTTGTACATGAATAAATGAATAAATGCAAGGTGCTGTACATAAATAAATGTAAATTATTGTACACAAAAAAATAAGACATCCTCTGAAAATAAGCCCTATTGCATCTTTTGGAGCAAAACTTAATGTAAGACCTAGTCTTATTTTCGAGGAAATATGGTACAAGGAAACTGGGATATGACTTCCACCACTTGTCATTTTACTCTCAACTTTTCAGCCAACGTGGAACTAACATAAGAATGCATGGAAGATACATACACTCTGTACCTTAAATGTTGTTTCACTCTAGGCAGTGCTATTCTTGTGTAGTTCTGAAATCCCTACCTAAACTGGTATTTGAGTACCAGACTCGGTTATCTTTCCATTGCTGTCATAAAATACCTGAGATAAACTTGGAGAAGAGATTGTTGGGCTCACTGCCTCAGTGGTTTCAGTCCATGGTCATCTGTCCCCATTGCTTTTGGGCTTATGGTGAGGCAGAACACCATAGCAGGGAGTGCCTGGATGGGTCTGCTCACTTTACAGCTTCCAGGAAGCAGGGAGCGTGGAGAAGAGGGGGCAAGGTCTCTGTGTCCCCTTCAAAGGCACATCCTCAGTGACTTCACTTTCTTTCTGTAGGCCCTAAAGGTTGCACCAGCTCAAAATACTGCCACTGGATAGTGGGCAAGCATGACCTTTCAGGGACATTTAAGATCCAAACCATAACACAGATAAAATATCATTATTAGCAAAAAAATTTAAAAATCGAATGAAGCCTAAAGATGTGAGCTCCCTACAAGGAAAGGACCATACCATTATTTTTCTTTCTTTACTATCTGCTCAGTCTTGTCCTCCTACCACAACATCCAGCACATTTCTGGTCATAAAGGTGAGTTCAAAATTTTATTGATTTTGGAACTTGTTTTGGTATGCACTCTCTGCAGGAACAGTTTGTTACAGGAGGATTTTAGGCTGGAATTGGATTTATTATTAAAGTTAGGAAGAGTACTATGTTGAGAGATAAGAATTTCATTTTGATTTGGTCATAAGAACCCAAAGGTGTAAATGCTGTAGTAGTCCGATTAGTTAGCATTCCATTAGGCATCCAAACTAGATGAAGGAGAATCTGATACTTCTCTGCATGACATTTCATATCATACAGGTAATCAAGAAAAATAACATTCTGTTACTTAAATATATTGAATTTACTCTTGCACAAAGTATCACAAAAGCTAGTTTTTGTACTAAGACTCATGTACTAATAATAAAAATAAATGCAAATCTAGCTCATGTATGTTTTAATCTTTTCACAATAAATTGTTTTTGAAAATCAATAAAGAGAATAAATCTTATCTGGAGATCTATACTTCAAAGAAGTGTTGACTTGATATAAAAGGGTGTCATCACAGTTAAAAGCAATATTGGCTTAGTCATTTCATGACATTGATGAGACTTTGGTACTGTTAAAATATGAGGCCAACCTAAAAACCAAAACCAAAACAACAAAAAATAGAAGGGAGATGTTATCTTAGTGCATAGCAGTGTTTCTCCAATTATATTTCAGATGTTAAGTATTTGGAGATAAGAGGTTCTATAGATAAATAAGTTCAGAAAATAATGCATTCAACACAGTTAAACAAGGTTTCTTTGAAATATTAGAGCCTCTGAGAAGTGCTGGAGTGATATACATTGCTAGTCTCCAAACCTGGGCTGTAGATCAGGGTAGAAGTTAAGCCAGTGATAGAGAACCTTTTAGAGATGAGTGCCCAAAGTGCAAGCCAAAACCCACTTATTTATTGTAAAGTGCCAACACTGCAATTAAACCAACATACTGAGGCTTTAGTTTGGGAAAAACAACTCATATATTAACATCTTTTGTCTTAAAAGAAGAACAAATAATATGCGTGCCATAGGTTCGTCACCACTGAGTTAAGCTGTCCATTATTCATTATGTATGTGGACTAAGTGCTTTACTTATACTATCTAATTTAATCCTTATATGGTAGATACAGTTATCCTCCATTCTACAAAGAAAGAAACTGAATTTTAAGGAGATTAATTTAGCAAAAGTCACAAAGCTATTACACGACATAGATAGATTCATATTAAACTCTGCATGAGTCCCATGTACCCTTTCTTTACAACTATGCCACAAGAAGGCCATAGCTACGTCCATTATTAGAGAACTGGATTTTAAGACTTGCTATTAAAATGGAAATATACAGGAGAGAAGAAAGACAAAACAGTTGCTTCTGTTTCCTGATTCTGTGATTTATCCCTGCATTTCTCAGGAATTTCCCATAAAATTAACAATATGGATGTCACACTTTGCTTCTCTCTTTGCATATATAACTATTAAATATTTCAAAATGTGGTAGTGAACACCTATAACAACTAAGGAAGTAGTATTATGTTTAGTAGTAATAAAATTGATGGCAAAATTTTCAAGGGAACTAACATTCACTAATTGCTCACTACATGCCAAATACTTAATAACATCCTGGAAAGTAGGCATTATTTTGCCTCTTTTTATGAACAAGATAAATGAGGTCCAGGTTACCAACCTGCCCAAGATCATCTCTTTATTAACTGGTAGAGCTGGAATTCAAGCTAAGCAGTCTGAGTCAAAAACACCTGTTCTTCCATCGTAATATGCTATTCCCATTGCAAATGGAACATATTCACCTTTGGTAGAGTAGATTGAAATAAAAATAGAGCAATCATTTAGCTTTTCTTACCATCAAAAGATAATCATTGACCTTTAATTATATTACTCAAAGTAAGCAAGTTCCTTTGCCAGTTCAACCAAAAAGCATCAGCCAGGTAGGAGAAGCAAAAAGGGTTTAGGGGTTAGAGCAACTGAGGTGATTGGTAATTTTACAGTGGACTTTCTTGCATATTTTGCCCTCTTTGTCAAAATGAAATGGTGGTGGTGTAAAACAAAAAATTTGATTGAAACATCCACATGAAAAGCACTTTGGAACAGTGTTAAGTATAGATTGCTCATGGTTCTATGAAGGAAAACTTCACTTGAAATAATCATACTTTTCTAGCCTTCATCCAAATGGCTGCTGATATCTACTAAAATGAAAAAACTTGTACTTGAAAATCTACTGATGGCTAAGCCACAAATCAAGGTATATTTGTAAAAGTTTTAAGAATATTACAAAAGCTATCAAAATAAACTAATGTTTCCTGAGATCATCATATATTAGGAATACAAAATTCAGAGTCCTTAAGGTAAAATAGTTGCAAAAGGTGAGGTAGAACCCTGGAAAATATGACAAAGAAACTGAATAAGTAGAGAAAGACCTCTAAACCAGCATGTTTGGGAAGAATATAATAAACTATACTTTATAGGGCCATCATTATGAACAATAACCACCACAGAAACACTGAAGGGTGGTGCTTCAAAAGTTCATTTGTAAGCTAGTTGTCTGGAACTAGAGACAACACATTTTCCCATAGTAATGTTGTTAAATAGGGTTTGGCTTTCTAAAACAGCCCACAGATTACTGTATGTGAAAATGCTTTGGAGAACTAAAACTGCAAAGCAAAGAGAAATTATTATTTAACTCAAATTTGTAACAAAACTTCAGAAAACAATATCACTACTATACCTAAAGCAAAACAAACAAACGCATTTAAAATTTATCTCAAATATTGGAACATGAAAATGCATAATCAGAAGGGTGACAAGGTTGATTAGAGGCTTTTGTGGAGATTATGGAAGTGAGTTACATACACATTCAAGTTCATTAGATATTGAGAAGACTGGTTTGCTCTCTAGTGCTTAATTCTGGTGCAAAAGAAGCAAAATCACACAGAAGGAAACACATTTTTCGGTAAGGAAGGAAAGACTCAGAGGAACAGAGAGAAGGAGATGGAAGAGGAGGGGAGAAAGGGGGGAAGGGGAGGAGGGAGAGTGGAGGAGGAGAGGGAGATGGACTGAATATTAAAATGTGTGTGAATGCATACCCACAAGAAAAGTTTCAAAAGGTGGAGTGAAAAGAAAAGAACACAAAATACATCTTAAGGGGAAAAGAAGTGATACCAAAGCAACCCTTAAATTTGGTAGTTTCTTATGTGAACCACCAACTGGTGAGTTTCATATAGCAGAATGTAATTTCAAGGGAAATTAACAAATAATTAAATTTTAGTGAACTTAAATGTTCTATATATCATTAATCAAGTGTAAAATAAGACCACCATGATTCCCCTCTACACTTATTCTAACAAAATTTCCTCCTCTCCTAGAATGACAAAAGCTATCAATATCAGATAAATCCAATGTCTCTGACTGAAAAATACGAATATATTGAATTCTTCAATCTAATCTGTTATATTTAGCCCTGATCCTAAATATATTGAATAGAATGGATATCGAAGGGGACTAGTGAGCTTAAGCAGGCCTCTTCTTAGAAACAAAAATACAAAAGGCAAGGTATGTTTCTATGTGTGTGAAGGGAAGATAAAAAGAAAAAATATTAATAGTGAAACAATGGACAAAGA